ACTAAAAACATTAAATTTTTTAATTAAACTAATGTGCAATAATTATTCTCTTATTATCTTATATAAATTTCGTTAAAAAAATTTTAATTTTACAATAACTTGAGAAAAGGATCAGCTAAGATTTTGGTCTTTACGTTTTTTAAACCTTTAAATAAGGAAGAATAACATGCCACTTCCCGATTTCGTCACCATTTTTGCAAAACCTAAATCTACTTGAAGCCAAGTGTGTGCTGTTACGCGAAACATCATAACTCGCACACAGGTGCGATCATACAGACCGGTATGTCTACTCTCTGTTCTAGGTAAAATCTTTGAAAGGCTTCTGTTGGGAAGGTTGAGGAAGACTGCCCGAGAAAGATGGATGACCCTCTCCTGGAACGAAGGCTCTATTTCACGCGCGGCGTCCAAAGGCTGCCCTCAGGGCTCTGTCTTGGGACCCTGCGCTTGGAATATTGCCTTTGATGGCCTTCTGGAGACTCTTGAGGAATTACTCGGGAAGTCATTTGCAGTACATGCGGATGACTTGTCGGAAATTGTTTCCGGGGACTCCAGAAGGAAACTCCAGGAGACAGCACAGATGGTTGTTGATACAGTCTCACGCTGGTGCGATGCAAATGGCCTCCAGTTGTCAAAGTCCAAAACGGAGATGGTGTTCCTCAAGTACGACCCACCCCGTAACGGAAGGCGATCAAAGAAGAACAGAGAGTGGAGATACCCCTCTGATGATAGCATACGAGCCCCTGTATTCAAATTTGACGACAAGTCAATCTCCCTCAAAAAGAGTGTGAGAGTACTTGGCGTCCACATTGATGAGGGGCTCAAGTTTACGACTCACTGTACGAAAACGGCTGACAAACTGAAAAAACTAATGGCTGCCATCCGGCGCGCTGCCCCCAGCAAGTGGGGACTACACTACCGGACTTTGGCAACAATTTACCGGGGTGTATTCCCTTCAATTGCGGGATACGCAGCAGCCGGATGGGACGACATAACGCCACAGACGGACTTACGAAAACTGAAAACGGCACAGAGACAGGCACTGCTGACAGTCACAAGAGCCTACTCAACAACATCGAGTAGCGCGCTATGCGTGCTTGCAGGCGTACTGCCCGTATGTCTCCTCCTTCACGAGCGCATGGCATTGTATAGCGTGCGCAAGCGCTTCGGGTTCCGCCATGGCAATCTATCCGTCAACGGAGAAGACGTGGAGAGACGCACGGGTAGCGAAGTAAGGACACGCTGATCCCTGACGTCCGATGTCGTCTGAAAAGCTCATGGATTTTTCCGGGATACCATGTCTCGCAAATGCTGACCGGTCATGGAGACTTTGCCTCTAAACTCTGGGGGTTTAGTCTCGGTGACGGACCAGCTTGCAGATGTGGTGCTCCGGAGGAATCCATGATGCATGTCCTGGCGGAATGCTCAACATTCGCTGAGGAGTGCGAGGCCCTGAGCCTTGTACTGGGTGAGCGGGTGACATGGCCCGCCTCTGCGCAAAAATTGGTCAGTCGCGCGGGATATCCTCATTTCGAGAGATTTGCGCGGACGGTCGTCGATAAAAAGGAGGCACGATGGCGTAATAATGACAATGCTTCTCTCGCAACTTGACTTCCATCAAAGAAGTCCGGCGAGAGAGAGGAATGTCCTAGGTAAAAATTCCCCTGCACATGACTCCTCGAAAGAAGAGTCCGGCAGATGGAACTAATACCGAGGCATGATGGATGATGACTCTGCGACGTAAACAAAAAACCTTCCTCGGGCTTGGCAATTCCAGAGAATTGCTCGGTCCGAGTAAGGTGATAAAAAAAAACCCCACTGTCGCAGAGCATCATCCATCTCCATAGGTCTGTGGGCCCCACCCCTTCTCCGTGGGAGCTTCACTCGCTTCACTTTCGCTTTCTGGTAGGTGCTATCCCTTTCCTGATCTCTTTCTCTTTATCTATCCTATCTTCTATTTCTTCATTTCCTTTCTCCACTGTACACGAATTTTTTTTTCAGACCAACCAGAACATCGGTGGATGGAGCTTAGCTCGGAGACGGAACCTCCACGAGGTCCCCGCTGGGTACTTTGTCTCCCTTCTCCCGTTCAAGATTTTCGAATCTTGCACGGGCAAAGGGAGGCAATGCTAACCGTCTCCTCCCGGAAGGGCATCCGGTCTTCTTAATGCCGCTTTGGTCCTAAGGCCTTATAGCGGCAATTTTTCCATACTCGCTCCTCTCCGGAGCAACGGTAGTGAGGAGGCTTGCCAAATCACTGCCGTTTCTCTATGTCGCGTAGTGGTTTCGCTGAAAAGTAGATATGCTTTAACATCGGGATTATAGCCCTTCATGGGCCCAGGTATCCCAGTCGGCCTGGCCGACTCAGCACAATTCTGGTATACCAGTTGTCAAATGTCAAATTGCGGTTTGTTTTTGATATGGACTGAATAAGTCTATCCACGACGTCAAAAGGTTTGTTACTTACCGCATGTGGTCCTGTTGGTTGTTTACCGGCCTAAACTTCTATTAAAAATACCCTATTTAATAAAGTAATCATACCTAACCTTTTTCTTACAATTTTTAAAATTATATACAGGATAATTCAAAACTTCATACAAAAAACAATTTAATTAAATATGTTTTGGAAAACCTCAATTGATTTTAATTTATCATTAATAATTTAAAATTACTTAAGAATAATTTAATTAACTGATTAATTATTAAAACTAAATTCATTTTTATATATTAGTATCATGAATTAGTATTTGCAATTATAAAATCTTTACTATTTAATAATATATACTCTAGTAAAGACAAAATTTGATTTAGTGTAAAAGAAATTTTTTCATACAATTCATTATTCATATAAACAAACAAATTATTCATAATTTTGTTATCGAATTCTTGCATTTAAAAAATTGCTTTTCTGCAACCTATAAATATTGCTTGTTATATAAGTAAACTCAACTGTTTAAATGCAAATCAACTGACTTTTTTCCTGCTCAATTGATACTACTTGAAACAGCCAGACCAAAACTGCCTGGCTACCAAATTGTACTGACTTGTGTATGGGTACTTGCGTTCACGCCTGCGTCGGTCAAGTAGTTTCAACCGGAGTCTCTGGTTGTTGCAACCTAATTTTTCTCTCCGTCTAGTGGGAGTCCTTCTTAATATACACAAGTAGTAGAGCTATGGGGATTCAAGACCACTTACCGACCTGAAATCTGCAGGTAGTAGAAATCTGTTTTACCGGCCGAGCATAGATCTTCTTTATCATGTGTTGCAGTTTCAGACGTTGTCGCTAGATGGCGCTGTTGCCCGCGGGAATTTTTGAATTTTTTAACCCTCCTGGCCTCCAACCACCCCCTAATTTGCATATGTATTTTTTAAACTTTTACCTTTTTGGTCACCTCCCACCACCCCCTAATTTGCATATGTATTTTTTAAACTTTCACCCTTTTGGCCAACTCCCACCACCCCCTAATTTGCATATATCTTTTTTAATATTACCACCCACTTTCCACACTCTAGGCCTCCTACCACCCCCTAATTTGCATATGTATTTTTTAAACTTTTACTCTTTTGGCCACCTCCCACCACCCCCTAATTTGCATATATCTTTTTAAATATTACCACCCACTGTCCACCCTCTTGGCCTACCACCACCCACTAATTTGCATATTTTTTTTAAACATTAACCCCTTTGGCCACCCCTCTAATTTGCATGGATCTTTTTTAAATGTAATTTGCATAACCCTTTTCAAAACAGTTTCTTAATACATATCTATACTGCTCGCGGGAATTTTGAAATTTCTTTTACCAACCCTTGAGCTTACAAATGAAGGATAAGTTTCCACATTACCATAGGTTGATGTCACCGATCTATACTAAAAGAGGGCGCCAATGCTGGTGGGAAATTTTGAATTTTACCCTTTTTTCATGGAATATTATATTTATTTTACATATAACTATTTTATATATGAATATTTAAAAATCTAAGTTTTTTAAAATAAATATTTTCTTTAACTCAGCATAGTTCAAAATATTTTTTTTCCTAACTTTCTATTTCTTGACATCTGTACCTTCTTGCGTCAAGGTTGATGCATACCTGCATGTACCCTATCATAAAAATTTCTGGCTACATTATATTTTTATTAGTATTTTCATATTTTTTCCACATTTTTTCCCCATTACTTTTTACCTCCCTAATTTTACAATGATTTTTTCACCAAAATCTTGAATGAGGGATGTCACTTTTAAAAGTTTCACGACTGAAGCAACATCGTGTAAATTCTTTTTCTGTGTGAAAAAAAGTTAAAAATTCCTTTTTTTAATTCTTATATAATTAAAATTTTTTTTAAAAATATAAAATGTGTAATAATATTGAAAGTGATCCAAGAATTGAGAATGCGAAAAAAGTTCATTGTTTAAGGAGAATTAATCCCGCGGAATGGGGATTACAATCGAATTGGGCGAAAAATGTAAGTTAAAAATTATATCTCATATACTGTGACGGAGTGAATCGTCACGACATCTCTGATCGATCCCTGATCCTGCGCCGGTACTAGGCTGCGGTAAGGTAGAGATCAAGCGGGCGGGTGACCCACTAGTAATTTGGATGTGTGTCGCTCGCTCGAATAATTTTGGGTTATTAGTTCTATATAGGGGTCACTGCCACTGTGGAGTGAGAGAGAAGGAGCGAGGCTGTAGTGACGGTGGAGAGAGAGAGACAGAGACATAACGAAGCCAGTGGGATGAGGCATAGCGAGACGCCGAAAGATCCCAATACATTGTCGTCCATTGAATCGATTACGATCCTGTCGCGGAGAGCATAACGTACGAGCGAGTGTGTTACACGAGGCGGAACTCGTGGAGTAGTTATTAGTGTGAATAAACAATATTGAGTTGTGTAAAGAGGGTGACTATTTTGTACGGAAATAAAGTGAATTGTCGAAAGAGAACTTGTGTGTAGTGTTTTGAGAAGCAGTGTGGACTTTTCAGAGAGTTGCTGAGAAGCCGAGAAGCCCGGACACGTGGTCAGGGATATCGTCGTGGGTAAGTCGTCTTATTGTCCAGGTCGTGTCTCGCCGCTGGCATTTCTGCTTGCCGGTGTTTTGGCAGAATTCCCTCTGGAGATTGAGAGCATCTCAGAGGTGTTGTTTCGTTGTTGATGTGGTGTAAAATAGTTTATTAATTCATCTTTAAAATTAATTGGCGCCTGACGGCGAAAATTTATATAATAAATTTTCTATATTTTTATTTGTTGAGGCCAGTGATTTTGACGTCAAGCAGATTAATTTAATTTATTAAATTTATACGTCATAAATTATTGGCGCCCAACGTGGGGCCAGGTCAGAACAGCGAGACACGACAAAATTATTTAATTGTGATAAAATTTTATGTGAAATGAAATAAAATTTTGTATTGTATATTTATTGTGGCCAGATATTTTTCAAGTGGAAAAATAATTTTGGCCAGTTGTGTTTGGCCAGACGAATTTATTATTGTGTTTCCCAATTATTTCTCTAAATTAAATTTCGCGATGTTCATACCGTGTAAAATTTAGATCGGTGTGTTAATTAATTGTGAGATCGCGATTGTGACGTCATAAAAATTTTCATTGAATTTTCCGTTATTGAAAATTATCGTTATCAGGGACAGTGAGATATTTTTGCTGATTTTTAAATAAATTGATTATTTTTCGAGAACAATAAATAATGGCTAATTAAACAATTAGTGCAAATTATTTAAAAGTATTGGAATTTTCGACCATGTGCTCGGCCGGAAATAAAACTCAGTAAATTCACGTGACATTTGATTTTGCGCAGTGATTTAAAATGTGTTAAATTCACGCGACGATAAAATTCAGGCGGAAGGATAATTGGATAGAGAGAGAACGCGATACCAGTGACGTGATTCACTATTACTAGTGAGTTAGAGAGAGAAAGAGTTATAGTTGAATCATTGGTCAGTCGCGGTAGAGAAAAATTTTAATTCGCACCAGAAAAATCGTGCGCCCCTGTACAAGCGTGGGTGGCTACAGGGCCGGATATACAAATTGAAATTTTATTTTTCAATTTTTGTTTTTTTTGCGTATTCTTTCGCGAATTCAAAATTTATTTAAATTTTTAATTATTATTATTAATTTATTTAATTCTCTCGTGTCGATTAAATTCAATTAAAATAAAAATGGCCAGAGCGATCGACGAAATGCAGGCGTACCACGAGCGAATGAGAAGGCTAATGGAAATTCCAGAAGCGAATCGGGCCTGGGACACAATTGCGTTTATGCCACCGGGACAAGTTGTAACAAAATTGTTGTTGCACCATTGCATGTATTAACGGTACAGAGCAGGTGCTTAAAGAGAGATTATTCCGGATAGAGTTGAGAATGTGCCTCGATCCAGAAATTGATGTCCCATTTAGCGAACAATATGATTGCGCGTCTTCTGATAAAATATTCCTCAAGGAAGCATTGTCAGAGCCACACAGCAGCCCCTTCCCAAATGTCTCTCAACGGAGAGGGGGGAAGAGATTATCGTCAGACGAGACCGATTCGGAAGAGGGGGGGAAAGAATTTTTAGGGCGTACATTGACCGAAAGTGGGAATACAACGGCGGGTACGACAATACCGGCGGAAGATAGATTGTACAGTAGAGATAATCCGACCATCAATCCATCAACGCCACAGTTCACACCCCCACCACCATTAGTCTCAACGGCAATGACTACCAACACTTCCCCCACCACTTCTATGGCACAGATTGGGATGTCGACCATGGTAGTGTCAACCCCCGCCCAATCAATAGTATCCCCGACTATGGCCCCTAATGTATTAAAGCAACACGAGGCGTTCGGGAAATTAAATTTGTCACCCGAATTTAAAAGACTTATGCGGGCTGCCGAACTAATTGACAAACATTACTCCGAGGGGGGGTGGGAGTTTCAACAGAGCCAATGTAGGGCCGAAATCGGACAAGGGTATAGTTTGACCCACCATCAACACGCGAGGATTTCGTCCCCTCAGAGAAAGACAGCGAACCCCAGACGAATCGCCGATAGCTCAAAATGAGCCGAAGCGAATAACTAGCCCTACCCCAGAAAATCTAGCACAAGACAGCTCTTCTACGAAGGAAAACGATGAATTCCCAACGCGTACCATCAAAGGGACAACGGGCCTTAGACTTTGAATCGTTGAGCAGTAAAAGCGAGAGAAATAGCGAAGTAAGGAGTAGGGCAAGTAGGGGTAACGTTAGTAACTATAACGTTAGTGGTCAGTCTGGGGACAGCAGAAGCTATAAGAGTCAAGAGGACTATGAATTTAGGGAAGTAAGGAGAAAGAAAAATCGGGACAGAAAGAACACAAATAGGAGTAGTAGTGAGGATGGCCAGAGAAAGAGAGAGATTAGGGAAAAGAGAGTCAACAATAGAGATAGGAGGAGGGGACACAAGAAGTCGGTAGAGAATAAGAGAAGAAGGAAGAATTCTTCTGGATTCTTCCAGTAACTCGGAATCCGAAAGTGATTCTCACACGAGCCAGAGCGAGGATCGGAAGGAGAATGTAGCAGAATCTATCCGTAGGTCGAAGGTTCTTAAAACTTTGAAAGAGTGTGATTTAAAATTCAAGGGGTATGAGAATGAAAATGCAGAGGTATTTCTAGAAAGATTGTCGGACTGTAGGGACTGTGCCACACTCTCTGACAAGGATATACTCCAAACACTCCCAATTATTTTGCAAGGTGATGCGATTATTTGGTTCCGTACCCTTCGCCATGAATTAAAAACGTGGAGAAGTTTCAAACGGGCCTTTACAAACGAGTACTTGGTGAATGTCGATGACGAGGAAATTATCGACGAACTAAAAAGTAGGACCCAAGGAAAGGACGAAAGAATTTCTTCATATTTGCGTAGCTTTCGAGTCATCCTGGGACACATGAAGTACCCACTCGACCGTAAGAGGCAAAATAAAATCGCTTTCAAAGGATTATTACCCGAGTACAGGCGCCATCTGGACCGCCAGAAGTACGACTCACTTGGCCAGATGGAGAAGATTCTGAGGAAATTCGAGAAGACGAAAAGTTTGGACGAGAAGTATGTGCCCCCTCCACCAAAGGAGAAAATGCTTTTCCCATCGGCCGCGTATAAAGGGAAATCAGAGAAAAAGGCCGGAAACAAGAGTGCGAAGGGCGAGAAGGTAGCAGCACTCGAAAATGAATCGGGATCGGAGAAAGAGTCGAGTGGGAGTAACCACTCCACTAAAAAGAGTAAAAAGAAGAGTAAGGCCAAGAAGGGCAAGAAAAATGAGAAAGCTCAAGGTCAGGACGCGGTGGACGCTATAAAAAAGGTAGTGACCCCCACCCTTAGCGCTCAAGGGACCAACGAGACGACCGACCAAACGCAGCCGCAGTTTGTTTCGTTGCCGATACAAACGTTTGCAGCTATGGTAGCAGGAGGACCCAGACCTAGTTTCCCCAAAGCATTTGGACAAAAAGGGGGAAAAACGGGGCAGAGTGGCGCTCCAACACCAGCAAGTCCTAAACAATTCTTGGGACCTTGCTACAACTGCCAGACGGTGGGACACCGTGCATCGGAATGTCCCAAACGCGTTTGTTTCGCTTGCCAACAACCAGGACATCATGCGAAGAAATGTCCTATGAGACAACCTCAAGTGGAGAGTTGTCTAGTGTGTAAAACCCCGGGAGTGACCTTCCTAACCTGTACAAGTTGTGCAACACTTAGGACATGTTTGGGAAACGGCACGTGGGGGGCACAACACCCTTTTGTACCCCCCCTCTGCCCGAAGGGATCTTAGGCCAGGGAAGAGTAGAGAAGGTTGAATACCCAATTAACGATGGTGCGACTTGTAGTTGGGTAAAAACAGAGATTGAGTTAGAGTTAGAGAGAGAGAAAGTCTGTAGAGAAGAGTTAACCGAGAATGATGTGTTCAAATTTGTGCCAAGCGACAGTAGGGCTAGATCGAGTGAGGAGAACTCACTCCATTGCAGGCCAGAGAGAAGTGTTAGTAAGGAATGTAGGACTAAAAGTACGGAAGTGGGTCCGGTACCTAATGTCCTGGGGAGGGGAAAGGCTGTGATGGGCACAGCTGACCCAAACCTGATTATGGTTGAGAAGTTGGATGGATCCAGGACAGAGAATAGATATTTCTTTAGGATGGCCATTGGCGATAAACCATATGAAGCATTATTCGACTCCGGAGCAACGATTTCGGTAATCAGCTCCAAAGTAGCCGAACCTTACAAGGACCGAATACAGCCGTCCAGATCAGCAATTAGGAGTGCATTAGGGGGCACCACCAAAAACGCTGGACTTTTGAATTTAACCATGGTAGTCGATGGTTATGTACAGAAGTTTGAGGTCATGGTCATAGAGTCATTGACACCTGACGTCATACTGGGGGTTGATTTTTGTAAAGCCTGGAAAATGGAAGTCCAGTTAGGCCAGGGTTTATGGAGAGTATTCGGTGGAGAGTGGCACGAATTTGACAAGAGTGAAGACACAGACAGTGGAGAAATAATTATTGCAGAGTGTGCTGGCATCTCCGCATTGGATGATGAGCAGAGACAGATTGTCCAAGCCATAGTGGATCGTTGGGTACTGCCAGAAACAGACGAACTTGGAGTAACCAACCTAACAGAACATCACATCCGTGTGACGGATGAGACACCTGTCCAACATCGGCCGAGACGGATGTCTCCGATCATGATCACATGGGCGCAGGAAAACACGCAGAAACTTTGGAAAAAAGGTATCATCGAACCGTCTGCGGCCCAGTGGAGAAGCGCGCCAGTTATTGCCAGAAAGGGAGAGAACGATTTTCGGCAGTGTATGGATTACAGAGACGTGAACAAGGTCACGGTGAAAGATGCGTACCCCATACCGACGATCGACTCCATCTTGGATAAACTCAGAAGAGCAAAATTCTTGTCAAAAATCGACTTGAAACTCGCGTATCATCAGATACCAATGGCCGAAGAGAGCAAGAAGTATACTGCTTTCGCAATTCCAGGGTCAGGATTGTGGCAGTATCGCAGGATGCCGTTTGGGCTAACGAACGCCCCAATGACGTTCCAGCGTCTTATTGACGCACTTTTCGGGCCAGAGTTTGAACCATTTGTCTTCGGATATCTGGACGATATCATAGTAGTCACGGATACTTTTGAGGAACACATCAAATGGTTAGAGATAGTGTTGAGAAAGCTAAATGAGGCCAGACTAGTTGTGAATCCAGAGAAGTGTGAGTTTGGATGCTCTAGGGTCACATATTTAGGGTACCTCTTGGACAGCGAAGGACTCAGGCCAGACCCGAAGAAGATCGAACCAGTCATGACTTATCCGGAACCGAAGAACATAAAACAACTTCGTTGTTTCTTAGGCATGGTTGGTTGGTACTCCAGATTTATTCCTAACGAAAGTGATATCAAGATACCTTTGGTCAGATTGCTGCACAAAGGCCGGACGAGGGAGTGGGGAGAAGAACAACAAGAGGCGTTTGAAAAGCTTAAACAGAAGCTCACTTCGGCACCAGTGTTGGCTCGCCCAGATTTCATCAAGCCCTTTCACTATACAGTGCGATGCCAGCGATTACGCCATTGGAGCGGTATTGACACTGGAATTTGAGGACGGAGAACATCCGGTTATGTACATAAGTCGAGTCCTAACGGAGGCCGAGAGAAATTACAGCGTGACAGAGAAAGAGTGCTTAGCGTTGCTGTGGTCAATTAAAAAGTTTAGACCTTATATTGAGGGATACAAATTTCATGTGATTACCGATCACAGCGCCCTCAAGTGGCTAAGGAATTTAAGAGATCCAACAGGTCGTTTAGCGAGATCGGCACTGGAAATGCAACAGTGGGACTTTGACATAGTTCACAGAAAGGGTGCACAACATCATGTCCCAGATGCATTGTCCAGATTACAAGAGAGTGAAGAAGAGTTAGTGTCCGCGTTTGAAACCATTGATGACCAATGGTACCTCAAGCGCCGAGAGTTAGTGACCCAGCACCCTCAACGATTTCCAGAATGGACAGTGGAAAATGATAACCTTTATCGCCATAGAAGTGATCCACTTTTAGTGCCGATAGTAGGAAACGAGGATGGGTGGAAATTGGTCGTCCCAGAAGAGTACAGAGAAAGAGTTATGGAGGACGCGCATGCGCAAGCGTCAGCTGGTCATCTGGGAATAGAAAAGACCTATGATCGCGTGGCTAGAGAATACTATTAGCCAGGTATTTGGAACGATGTGCACAATTTCGTGACGCATTGCATACAATGCCAAGTACATAAAGTTTCTCAAGCGGGACCAGTAGGTATGATGGGCCAGAGGATAGTCGAAAGACCGTGGTCAGTTGTAGCAGCGGACACAATGGAGTTTCCACCGAGTAAGAATCGTTATAAATACTTGGTGGTGTTTCAAGATTTATTCTCGAGGTGGGTTGAGGTTAAACCCCTCAGGTCAGCAGATGGAAAGTCGGTAGCCAGAGCGTTTGAGGAGTTGGTGTTATTTCGATGGGAAACACCAGAATATTTCCTATCAGATAACGGTAAAGAATTTGACAACAAATTTCTAAAGTCAACTTTAGAAGAATATGGAGTCAAACACATTACAACACCACCTTATCATCCCCAGGCCAACCCAGTGGAAAGAAGTAACAGAACATTGAAAACGATGATATCTACTTTCATTGGGGCCGATCATCGTGACTGGGACTTGCATATTCATGAGTTTCGTCACGCAATGAATACCGCGACACAAGCTGCGACTAAAACGTCCCCTGCGTTTCTTAACTATGGTCGACATCCTAGGCCAGTCAAAAGTTTGCGTAGAGAAATCGAAATGAGAGATAAAGTAGTTAGAATCAATCCAGACGAGTGGGTAGATCGGGTCAAGAGATTAGATGCGCTGAGAGATTTAGTAGCGAGACTAATTGATAAAGAGCGAGAGAGGCAAACCAAATATTATAATAAAGGCCGTAGAGAGGGTATATTTAAATTAGGAGATATGGTGTTACGTAGAACACACAAACTGTCTAGTGGTACCCAAAGGTTCGCAACTAAGTTAGCACCCAAATTCGAAGGGCCCTATGAGATAGTCGAAGTGTTATCGCCCACCGTATTCGTGTTACGCGCCGAAGACAGCCGTAGAATCCCTAAAGTTCACGTGACTGACTTAAAGCGATATCTCCCACCAAGGGGATAATAGTGACATAACTAATTGTATTGTGGTTTGCAGAGAGACGTGAGAGAGAGCAGAGAGGCCAGAGAGAGGGACAGGGAGAGGGACAGAGAGAGAGACGTAGGAGAATAATGCCGTACGATCGCATCGGGCAGAGAGGGATGGAGAGAAGTCGTCATCGTCCATCGACGGACTTCGGTGTGGAACCGCGAGGTCAAGGACGAATGACGAGAAGTCGCAGTCAATCCGCCCATAGGCCAGGGGGCGAGTTCCAACCGGACACGACGGCTACGAGAGGGGCATCATTACTGATGTTCCCGAATAGAGATGTGCCGCTTCCCAACCCGTTGGAACCGGTGAGACCAGGGAAGGATAAAACCAAGAGGCCAGAGAGAGAGTTAGGAACGGAGGAAGGTGCAGTGGGTGGAGCAACAGGCCAAAGAAGGAGGGAAGAGAGACGGGAGGATCTCCGGGGATTAGAAGGGTTCGAGAGACAACAACTCGAAGGTTCCCACAATCAGAACAAAGTGGAGATCGTGGTCCCGTATACTTGGCCAGCAGAGAGAAGCAAGGGGGAAAGCGAAGAGGCGTATGAGAGCCGCCTTGCAGAGCACGAGTTGGAGAGTTTCCTCCGTCACGGGTCGGTGTACCCGACGAGAGATTTGGCCCGGCTAAAGAGTCGCCAAAGTGAGGCCAAGTCGGCCAGACAGAAGCCAGCCTTGAGGAAAGAGGACATGGAGAGCACGGCACCGACCCCGAGGGAAGCGCGTTCGCATTCCCCACATCCAGGGCCGCCTAATCGTCGAGAACCGGAAAAGAGAGAAGCGGCAAATTCAATGAGCGCTCATTCTTCACGGGATTCCCGAAATGTAGTGACACAACGGCCAGAGAGAGTAGAGGAGAATAGAAGTAGAGAGGTGGGAACGAAGAGAGCACCGCTGAAGATCAAAACTTCAGGAGTGATCTTCGGGAATTTAAAGGCAATTCCCACGGTTAGTGCAATCGACCCCCCACCATACGCCTGTTTCCAGTGTTGGAGGTTCGACCATAAGCTGGAAGCCTGTCGGAATACCAAAAGATGGCCATATTGCCTAAATTGTGGTCGTCGATTGGTAACGGTCGAGACTTGTCCGCGTTGTGCAGAGGCATACGCAAGGAGAGGGAAACAAGTGGTTGACCGAGTCGAGCGGGTCAACAAGCGAGAAGAGACAGAGGCAAGGAAGCCAACAAGGGAAGAGACCCCAACAGGAGAAGGCGAGGACAGAGAAGTGAAGGAGAAGGGCGGTGATGACGATCTAATATCAAAGATCTTAGAGATCACGAAAGCCCTAGCGGGACTTCCGGCCTCCACCATAGACAAGGCCATAAACCAGCTGCTGGAGGAGAGGAGGAAGTAGTTGGAAAGGAGGGCGGACGTGTAGGAGGGAGTTTCCAGCCAGAGAGAGAGAGAGAGGAGTTCGGACAGAGAGAGAGGAAGGGAGTAGGCCAGAGTGAGAGAAGGAGGGACAGACGGACAGAGAGAGAGTAACGGGCGAACCATGGCCAGAGAGAGTCGGAGGAGAGGACCATGGTTGCAGCTGGTTTGGTAAGAAATAAAATTTTTTTATTTTTATTATCATTTTCTTTTTTTTTGTTGTTATATGACGATCCTACCAGGAGTAGTTCCGGTCATGGGGAGGGGATTGTGACGGAGTGAATCGTCACGACATCTCTGATCGATCCCTGATCCTGCGCCGGTACTAGGCTGCGGTAAGGTAGAGATCAAGCGGGCGGGTGACCCACTAGTAATTTGGATGTGTGTCGCTCGCTCGAATAATTTTGGGTTATTAGTTCTATATAGGGGTCACTGCCACTGTGGAGTGAGAGAGAAGGAGCGAGGCTGTAGTGACGGTGGAGAGAGAGAGACAGAGACATAACGAAGCCAGTGGGATGAGGCATAGCGAGACGCCAAAGATCCCAATACATCGTCGTCCATATTGAGTATCGATTACGATCCTGTCGCGGAGAGAAAGGTGCTTGCAAAAAGGTTACACGAGGCGGACTCGTGGAGTAGTTATTAGTGTAAAAAAACAATATTGAGTTGTGTAAAGAGGGTGACTATTTTGTAAGGAAATAAAGTGAGATTGTTGAAAGAGAACTTGTGTGTAGTGTTTTGAGAAGCAGTGGCGGACTTTTCAGAGAGTTGCTGAGAAGCCGAGAAGCCCGGACACGTGGTCAGGGATATCGTCGTGGGTAAGTCGTCTTATTGTCCAGGTCGTGTCTCGCCGCTGGCATTTCTGCTTGCCGGTGTTTTGGCAGAATTCCCTCTGGAGATGAGAGTGTCTCAGAGGTGTTGTTTGTTGTCGCTGTTGTAAGATAGTTTATTAATTCACTTTAAAATTAATTGGCGCCTGACGGCGAAAATTTATATAATAAATTTTCTATAATTTGTATTTGTTGAGGCCAGTGATTTTGACGTCAAGCAGATTAATTTAATTTATTAAATTTATACGTCATAATACATATATATATATATATATATATATTTCATGTGCTTGAAGATACGAACGTTCAAATGAACGAAATCTCCCGCATAATGTGATCGATCTAAAATACAGCTAAAATGAAATAAATAGATGTTTAAACATTTGTATTTACTAAATAATATTTATTACAACATTATTAAAAGATAACAACACTGAAAAATAAAAAAATTAACATATCTAAATAGACATAAAACATAATCAAGGTTTTCAACAAAAATTCAATTGCAACTAATTAACTAATTATGAAGACCAGGTTGAAATTAAAAATTGTAGAGGAAAAAATTATTGCTTTTTTAGCAATAAAATTGAAAAAAAATATAACAACCTTCGGACCCCCCCAAAATGATTAACCCCCACCCGCTTTTCGTTGCGAGGCAAAAATTTTCAACACAAATTCAATTTCAACTAATTAACTAATTATGAAGACCAGGTTGAAATTAAAAATTGTAGAGGAAAAAATTATTGCTTTTTTAGCAATAAAATTGAAAAAAAATATAACAACATTCGGACCCCCCCAAAATAATTAACCCCCACACACTTTTCGTTGCGAGGCAAAAATTTTCAACAAAAATTCAATTTCAACTAATTAACTAATTATGAAGACCAGGTTGAAATTAAAAATTGTAGAGGAAAAAATTATTGCTTTTTTAGCAATAAAATTGAAAAAAAATATTAAAACATTCGGACCCCCCAAAATAATGAACCCCCACCCACTTTTCGTTGGGAGGCAAAAATTTTCAACAAAAATTCAATTTCAACTAATTAACAAATTATGAAGACCAGGTTGAAATTAAAAATTGTAGAGGAAAAAATTATTGCTTTTTTAGCAATAAAATTGAAAAAAAATATTACAACATTCGGACCCCCCCAAAATAATGAACCCCCACCCACTTTTCGTTGCGAGGCAAAAATTTTCAACACAAATTCAATTTCAACTAATTAACTAATTATGAAGACCAGGTTGAAATTAAAAATTGTAGAGGAAAAAATTATTGCTTTTTTAGCAATAAAATTGAAAAAAAATATAACAACATTCGGACCCCCCCAAAATAATTAACCCCCACACACTTTTCGTTGCGAGGCAAAAATTTTCAACAAAAATTCAATTTCAACTAATTAACTAATTATGAAGACCAGGTTGAAATTAAAAATTGTAGAGGAAAAAATTATTGCTTTTTTAGCAATAAAATTGAAAAAAAATATAACAACCTTCGGACCCCCCCAAAATAATTAACCCCCACCCGCTTTTCGTTGCGAGGCAAAAATTTTCAACAAAAATTCAATTTCAACTAATTAACTAATTATGAAGACCAGGTTGAAATTAAAAATTGTAGAGGAAAAAATTATTGCTTTTTTAGTAATAAAATTGAAAAAAAATATTACAACATTCGGACCCCCCCAAAATAATGAACCCCCACCCGCCTTTCGTTGCGAGGCAAAAATTTTCAACAAAAATTCAATTTCAACTAATAAACTAATTATGAAGACCAGGTTGAAATTAAAAATTGTAGAGGAAAAAATTATTGCTTGTTCAGAATAGACTAAAAACATGAACGTATACGTAACGTCACGATTGATTTTAAATGGATACTTTACGTTCACGTTACGTATACGTTTATGTTTTTTGTCCATTTTGTGCTCAACCTAAAGTTGAGTCTGCAGTGCTCACGTTTGTACGTGAACGTGTGCAATGTAGACTCACCTTTAGGTTCAGTCCAGAATGGACCAAAAACATGAATGTATACGTATCGCCACAATGTATTTTTAAATGGATACGTTTTGTTCACGTTACGTGTATGTGCATGTTTTTGGTCTATTCTGGACTCTTACTGCGCAATCTAACTAACAGCGATTATACATTACAGCAAAATCGCAACGAATTTGCGAATTACAGTTTTTTATCAACTACCGTACCCTTATGTTCTGAAAATTAAGTAACTTTGTAGTTAAAATTTACAGTTAGTATAAAGTCACTAAATTTTCACTAGATTGTTGAGTTTGGTAACTTTCATCACGTTCAAAAAATTTCCAAGTTTCCATTGGTTTCAGCTACGTAGCCTACTCACGCATTTCACCACAAGAAGGTTGGAAAATGGACTTTGAAATGTATTTCTTTCTTCTATCGGTATTTTTAACTTAAATTTTTTTTATTAAAGTTGTTAATAATTTTTTTGTTTTTATTAATTTTTATTGTTTAAATATTAGGGAAATTATGTTTTAATTAAATTGAATAGTGAATTAATTAAAATTTTCTTTTTATTTATTTCTTATGTTTTACTATATATAATTAATAATTAGTCTTTATTCATACAAAATAAATTGTATTTACATTTTTAATATTAAGTTTTGAATGATTCTTATTTTTGTAATATGATTGTCGAAACATATTAATTGTTAACTTTCATTTTTTTTACTGTACCAATTCTAAGACATAGCTTACACTTGAATGGTTGATTACTAGTTGATGAAAGTTTGTTTTCTTTTTCATCCTTAGTAACATTAATATTTTTTATTTTTATTTTAAATGTTGACAAACTGTTATCTTCTTCATCTTCTGTATTTGTATTTCCTTTTGTGTAGCATTTTATATGAATCCATCTAGTGCAAATAATACACGTTTTAACCATAGTCTTTGAATTATTTTTACTAAAGCAGTACAGACACCGTTCTGATATGTCATTTGACTTTATTATTAAAGTTTCTGCAACTTGTTTTCTAAATGTCTCTGGATTAAATTTTTTATCAAATGGTATGTTGTGTGCTATACAGTATATGTAATACATTATATATATTGCACAGTTACTTGAATCAAAAACTGCTTGAAATGGTCTGTCATGTTCAAATTTTTCTACAAACTTAATATTTTTTAAAAAACTTAAACTGCTATCACTGGAACAAGAATTTATATATTTTTCAAATGCTTCTATGGCTCTACCTTTATCAATTGAATTTTCATAGGGGTCAAATAATGTATATGTATGATCAACTGTGTCTATAAGTAACATACTGCAATGTCCTTCAAACATGTATGGTATTAATAAAATTTTTTTTATCGTTTTCTTGATATTGTAAATATCTGATCCTGGATTTTTCCTTATTTTCGCAAAACTACCAATTGCTTTGTTTGAAATATCTGTTGGCATATACGTTATGTTATTATTTGTCCATGAATTCATGTGTGTTGATGTAAAACAGTCAACAATTATAGAATCTATCCATTGTACTTTGTCAACAATTGGTGAAAATTGTTTTGCTGCCATTTGAAATTCTTTCATCACAAGTGTAATATCTTTATTAGGTTCATATATTCCAATTTTTATGTTCTCTGATGATGATGTTATATAATGCCATACACTATTTACAAGACCATTTGGTAATATGTCTGTTCTTTGTGTTTTATTAACTTTCATTTCAACAGAATCTTTAATTGGCATTGATTTATTTTCTTTTTTTATTTCTACTTTTTTTTTCATTTATTATATTTCTGTTAATTATTTTTGTTATAGTATTTTTTTTAGGTATTCGTACATTAGAACCTTTTATATTCATTTTTGCTGGTAAACGTACACTATTGTTATTTAATTGATTTGATTTAAATTTATTTTTTGTCAATTTATTAACATTTCTTTTATTTATTATTTTAGAATTTCTTTTTTGAATTATTTTTTACCAATATTTACAAGTTCCCTTCCTTGAAACGAAGTATATTTTTGTTTTTTTTTCAGTTTGTTTGTTTATTTCTTTTTTACTTCTACCCCATTTTTCAATTTCAAATGGATTACAAGCTGCTTCTGGGTAAAGAGGTCTTTTTTGTATTGCTAATGAGTTTTTACATTGTATGTTTAATCTTTGTTCAACTATCAATTCATTATTATTTTTTACTACTGCTCTTACAATTTCCCCAATAGAATTGTCATCTGGTAATGGTAAAACTGTGTGTTTATAGGTATTGATGTACGATTCTGCGTAAGCATTACTTATACGCGAAATGTTACTGTCTACAAATGGTAACATTAAAGCTCCAAATAAAGGTGCAAATGCTAAAAAAGTTTTTACAATATAGCGACCAAATTCAATTACGTAATATTTATTTGTTATCTCTTCTTTATTGTCATCATAATAATTATTTTCTTTGTACATTAAGATTTTCCAAAAGTGTT